CATAAAGATCTTTACAACATAGTGACTGGTATGCCCCAAAAGTAAAACATGTCAGAAACAAGATATGCATGAATTATCATGAAAACAAATCATGGATTTTACTATTAGTACATCTGACCCAATAAAATCTTCAAGGAGCTCCTAATAGCCTTGAACTTTTAATGAATGATTCTATATTCCCAACTTACAACTTTTTTAAAAAAGGCACAATGACAAGGTGATTTTCAGTTTTGGGGTTTTTTTTTTGGTGGAAGAGGTAGGTATTTCATTTAGTTTTGTTTTAGATTTAGATTATGTTTGTTGATAAACAACAAGTTCATTATCTTAGTTATATAGAATTGTTCAATAGAAATAAGCAGGGCATGTGTGGTGGCACATGCCTGTAATCCCAGCTATCTGGGAGGCTGATATTAGTACTAGAAATATTATAGGATTATTGACTGTTGATTATATTAATTAGTGTGTATGTTGGATAAAAGACTATAAGCAATGTGCCATTATATAATGTAAACTGCAAAACTTAGATAAACTGCAGAACCTTGACTTAAGTTAGTAACGGAACAGTCTACACCTGGGGCATACACCCAGACCTCACCCAGTTATCAGCTGCAAGTAAATGAATTTTAAAATGAACTTAAGAACCCAGACTTCTGAGGGGTGATAGGACTAACAGGACCCAGGACAGAGAGACCAAGGCCTCCATTGCTGTTGTCCTCCCTTCACCAGACTCCTCCACCCCAGATCAATTTCCAGCAGGCGGGACTTAAGACAGGTCACGTGAGCGTGAGCGTCTGGAACCCTTGGGTGTAGACTGTTAGAACTTAGAATTAGGATGTGTGTCTGAAGTGTGATTAGCATCAATAAAATAGGTTTGATTAAATCTAACTGTGCCTCAGACTGAGTCCATAATAAATGCTTGGGACAGAGGCCAAGGCAGGAGGATCATGAGTTAGAGGCCAGCATGGACAAGTTAATGAGACCTTGTCTCAAAATTTAAAATTTCTTTAAAAAAGGGCTGAGGATATAACTCTGTGGTAGAGTACTTACCTAGCAGGTGTGAGGCCCTGGGTTCAATCCCCAGGAAGGAAGGAAGGAAGGGAGAGGGGAGGAAGGAGACAAGAAATAATCTTAGCAAAGTTGACCTTTTAGGTCCATTAATTTGTTAATTTTTCAATTTTAAGTGTGACCAATTTTCTCATGAAGATCATGAACTTAATGTATAATATAGATTTTCTATAAACAAAGAGTTTTTTGAGAGGGTCTTTTTATACAATGCAGAAGAATATTATGCATTGCCTATTCTATTTCCAGAGCATACAGAATAAAATACTTTTTCTAAAACAACCCCTGTAAGGAATTCAGCATAAATGCTAAGTCCATATATACAGTTACGTGCAAGAGACTGTTGAAAAAAATGAAGTCCGCTTTCATTCAGAAATCTGTGGGATTTCATTTAAGATCCCAAACAAACCAATTTTTCCCTGAAAACAGGAGATTCCAGTTAATCCAATCAGTAGAATACAGAAGTCCCTTCTGCTTTAACTCTTATAAAAAAAAAAAAAAGTAACCTGCAATAATCTGATGTTAACCAATCAGCTTTTTTCTAATGCTGTTTCCTTTTTCCCACCGTATAAAACCCACCATTCTGCCTCTGCCCGGTTAGGAGCTCTCCTGTTTTGTTGCATGGAGCTGCCTCATTTCTTGAATTTTCAATGAAAGTCCAGCAGATCCATAACTAAATTTGCTGTAATTTTGTCTTTTCTACAGAACTAAAAGATAAATTCCTGGAAGAGGTTCTGGAAAATTAGACACAGAGAGAGTGGGTCATTTTACCTATCAGTCCTTCTCTGCTCATCTGTTTCTTTTTTCCTATTATTATTCATCAGATTTTTTTTTCCCTTCTGAATTCTTTCTACTGAAAAGCTGCTCTCCTAGGTCCTCCCCTCCTCCCCCATGCTCCTTAGACTATCCTCCACGCCCTCCTTCCCAGCGGCTGGTAAGACCCAAGAGAGGCTTCCAACCTGCAGACAGTGATGGATGGCTGGGCAGAGGCACACAATGGTGGTGCAGGCGTGTGTCAGCCTTGCAGCTGACCTTCAAAAGAACAAGCCAAAGCTGAAGCCTGACTTGAGGGAGGCTGATTTAATTAAGGTTACAGCAAAGGCCAGAGCCGCCTGTGGGCTGCATTCTCTACAGAGTGTCAGGGACAATGCTTTCAAATACTTCTCAAGAAGAAAGAGCCAGGAAAGTTATGTTGGTAGAATGCTGGAAAGTGGGGGGAAACATAAAGCCAAGATGTGCTACATAAACAAGTATAGGCATACCAAAAGTTCACGATCCAGTGATATACAGATACTGAAATGCAATGACAATAGGAAATACACAATCAGTATGTTTTGACATGCCTTTCAAACCAGAAAGAGGCTAGATGAATAATCAGATGTCCAAAGTGAAATGATCCAGGGCTAGAAGAAAAAGCAACGTTTTGGTTAATGGCAGGACCAGGACTCAAGTGTACCATTTCTTTTAATTGTAGTACATTTCTTTGAACTATAGTACAGTTTCTTAAATGTCTGTGAATGGAAGAACGTATAAATTTTCTAAAAGCCCTGGCAAATGTACTAACGCCAAAGTGTACCATCAGATCATTACTGGTAACTTCTTTACTTTGTAAGTATTCAATAAAATCTATCACTAAACTGCCACAAAAAAATAACAATACATTGTCCAACACACCAATAGGGCAGGGGAAGCAACAGGTCCCAAGAAGTCTTTCCTCTTCTTTGGAAAGCAAGTTCCAAGCCAAAATATAAACCCAATCTCTACGTCCTCTGAGGGCATGTGAAACCTAGGCCAAATAAATGGATCATACGACCTCTTCTCAACAGTTGCCTTCTGCTCTCCAAGACTCAAGGATGCCACAGTCAAAAGTCAGGACCTCCATGAACAAGCAACTGCCCAGCACTATGGTGATGGTTGGCCTTTGTGTACCTAAACACGGATACCTGGAAGCAGGGCAGGCTATTGTTACAAGCACAAACAGGAGGCAAGAAGGTTAAAATCAAGCTAAGACCCCATGGTAACCAAACAGCTGGGAAGTTATCTACTATCTGATCCTATACTGGGAGCAGTTCCCATGCAGTAAGTACAAGCGGTGTCCAAGTCAGGGTAGGCCTTGGGAGAGCAGAGCATTGTCAGGAATCAAAAGATGTCATGAACTATACTGAAAGGCTATTCATCCCTCATTCGGCTTTTTAAGCTATGTGGGGTCCACTGATTCGGAAATGGCTACCAGTATGTACATACTGAGCAATTAAAGTCACACTTTTTTCATTCATGAGATATAATTTTTTAAATTCTAACATAAAGTTCATTTTATAGTGGTGGCACTAATGGTATCAAAAAACAATGTTACATGGGTTTGTTTTGTTTTGTTCTGTTACAATCTTTTAAAAAAATAACTAATTTTTCTCATTCCTTCCAAAACAGGACTCTGACATTTTTCCTTGTGCTCTATTAAACTTGCCAATGACTAAGATGTTAACAATTAATTTTCCAATTTCATTGTGTGTGAAACCATTCATTTTCAGGAAAATGAGTCACCATTAGCTCAGGCCATTATGACAACAGAAGGTTTGCCTCCTCCAAAGGGCAAGACAGTAATTTGGGGAATATCTTCAAATCAGTAAGTTTCACTCTTAAGAGAGACTTGGTAACAGACCTGATGAAGACATCTAGTTTGTGGTGGACGTTTGTATGTTCTAAAATACTTCCATCAAACTCACAATCAATGAGGACAATTCTTTATTCTGAGTGACTCAATGTGGATTATAACTCTTCAACCAATAATGTCCTCAGGGACCTTCTATGCAGCATCAAAGCTGTGAGAGAGAGAAAGAGAGAGAGACAGAGAGAGAGAGAGAGAGAGAGAGAGAGAGAGAGAGAGAGAGAGA